AAAAGATTCAGTCTTTGTTTGATCTGCTGCTGAAGCAGAATCTCTCTCTCCCTCCACCCTTCAGTCTACAAGGGATGTTATTCAAAGCTTAGTTGCTAATCCTTTTGGATTTTTCACAGGCGCTTTCATTTTGGAATGCAGTTCAGCAATACAAGTCTGGCATTGTTCTTTGTGGAAAGAAGAGATCTCCCACCTGAACCCTAGAGGGCGCTGAATACACATGTAAACATGGGCTTGGGGAAGGTTTTATCTGCCACACCTTCTCTGGCTTGTAGAAGAGGCCAAGAGACAAAATAGTTACTTCAAAGATTATTGAATGCTCCTTTGTTTTCCCCTTGTAATCCTTCCTCAATGTGGCTGTTAGCAAGCAATGGAGGAATCTTTCAATTTTGGTTTGGCTCCGCTTCTTGATTTTTCTTCAAGCTCGATTACTGAAAAAGGAGAAGGGAATATGTCATTAGGGGAAATATGTCATCTAGAAATGCCCCTAAAGAAATTTCCCCTGATTGTTCTACGGATGTTTCTTGTCTTCTTTATGACAGCTGCATACTGCATGCTCTAATTTTTTGGGTTGCTTATATAGATGATTATTTGGCATAAGTGCTCAGGACAATTGGGGGAGGGGGATTATTTTACTTCCCGTAGGAAGTTAGCACCCATCCCTCTCCTAGAAGAATGAAATATTCTAGGAAATATTAAAAAGGCAGAATATTATACCTCCCTGGATGAGAAAAGGAGAAACATACTTTTGGAAAGCAGCCCCCCATCTTTGTTAATAACCCCAGAAAGACTGCTGCCAACTATCTACAAGACAAAAGACTGGGCCATCTTCTCTACAAAGACCTTCAACTCCAGGGTGATAGGATTAGCCCTCACTCAAGATCCAAACCAGGACAAAGCCATTAAGCCATAATAGGAATTGTCCAAAGCCCCTTCATTACATCACCCAGCAAGATTCAACCAAGCCTGGGACTCAAGACAATCTACAAAGTTACCCCTGCATGGCCCCATGGGAGTCTGACAACCAATCAGAATATATTTCTTACACAGGAACAGGAAGCTCCAAGGTGGGGCCTAAGAGAGGGTATAAATCAGGGGTGGGTTCTAAATTTTTTTACTACCGGTTCTGTGGGCATGGCTTATTTTGTGGATGTGGCTTGGAGGTCATGTGACTAGGTGGGCGTGGCTAGCTGGTCATAGTCATTTCTGGAAGGTCCTCACACTTACGACCAGTCCTCGTACTTATGACCCAACTCATTTGTTTGCTTTTAACACTGATCAGCTGTAGGATGGCCCTTTGAAGCTCCGCGGCAAGAGTTTAAACAGATTTTTTCCCGCTAGTCATCAGCTGGGACTCAAGAGGCAGCAATAGATTGGGGGTGGGACCAAATAAAAAGTAAGAATAATGTGGGGGGGTGGGGGGGGGGGGGGGGCGGGGGGGAGAATATCGTCACCGCTACCATATCGTCACCGCTACCGGCTCAGCCGAACCGGACCGAACCGGGAACCCACCACTGGTATAAATCTCTCTCTCACACACATATGTGCTCAATTGCCCAGGACCTCAAATCATGTGGTCCTGTCTACCATTAAACCATCTTTCCAAATAGCCTCCATGTTTCCAGTGTCTTTCTCCCCACTTGGAACTAAACCCAGATGGACATTTCTTTCAACATTCCCTCCATTAGTCCCAAGTTTACTGCTTATTTTGACTTCACAGAAATAACTAGTAGCCATTCTATTTCCTACATTTTTTTTCTGTATTAATTTAGTGGAAACTTCTGATTTTTGTAGGACATGATAAATATTAAGTATTTGTGTGAATCAAGGGAATCTTTCTAGACACAAAATACTAAGAGCCTTGGTACTACAGGGGTTTAAGGCACCCTGTTATTAAGCTTATTAAGACCAGCTGCCTGCAATTACTGCAGGGTTCGAATCTCGCCAAGGCTCAAGGTTGACTCAGCCTTCCATCCTTTCTAAGGTAGGTGAAATGAGGACCCAGTTTGTGGGGGCAATAAGCTGACTTTGTATAAATATACAAAAGGATGAAGGCTATTGCTTAGCGCATTGTAAGCCGCCCTGAGTCTTCGGAGAAGGGCGGCATATAAATCAAATTTAAAAAAAAAAAACAAAAAAACTATCTGGTATTATTTCTCATTTTTCTTCTTTTTGTGTGCTTCAGTTCTCCCAGCTGATTTTAGTCAACCTTGATATTTCCTGAGATGTGAAAATTCTTTCTTTTTTTTTTTAAAAAAAAGACCTCTAATAAATCTTTCTGCAAAGCCCTTAAATCCACAACAATTAGTTAAGTGCTGTGAGAAGTGATGTGTGTGTTTTGTGTATATATGTGTGTGTGTGTGTGTGTGTGTGAGAGAGAGAGAGAGAGAGAGAGAGAGAGAAGATAAAATTATCCACAAATCTGCTCAGCACTGGTCTGAAGACAACTCACTAACAATTTCCAAGGGGCTTTATTGCCATGTCACCCGTCTGTATCTCATTGTCCATCTGCAGCTAAAGCAGCCAGAGAATAGATTGTCATGCTTCAGGCAGGTAATATGCAGGCTATTGATGCAGAGGATAACAATCTGAAATAGTGTGTTTTGTATTGGTAATCCCGTGGCTCCAAGTATCTACTAGTATCCTGTTCTACTGGTATCCTATGGATTGTTATGGGGGGTGGGGAGGGATTGGTCCGCCATCAATCTAGAGCAGCAGTCTATGGACCAGCACTGGGTTGTGGCATGCCAGAAACTGGGCCACAAACAAGTGAAGCCCCATCCATGGGATGCAGGCAGCATGCGAAACCATATCCCCTCTGGTCCGCGGAAAAACCTCTCTCCATGGAACCGGTCCCTGGTGCCCAAAAGGTTGGGAGCCACTAATCTAGAGAGTGTAAAACTCTGTAATTTACTAACTTGTCCCTGGTTTAATTGGATGTCTAATTGAAAAGACTTCCTGTCTTGTATTTCCTTTCCAGTAGCTTCCAGGACCCCTATCTCTTCATTTCTTCTTTTTGCCTGTTGTGTTGAGCATTGTGTGCAGCTCCCACACTGATCTCCACTGTTAAACTCTTCTCAAACACCAGCTCTTCAACAGCCTACTTACCCAGATGCCACATAAATCTAGTCATTCGCTAGATGGCAGTCAAGAGATTATTTCTTGCCAGCTCTAGGATGGGAGGGGAACACATTAATTACGGTATATGCATATTGCAAGTGTTTAATGGAACACCTATTGTTGCTGGTTTTGATTTCACAACATCAGGAATATTTAAATGGTGATTAGACTTTGGGCTTATTCATTTACTTTTTTAAAAATATCTGAGACCCACCCATCAGTACCTGGGACACCTATATAACACTCAAGAATTCAGAACCTAGGAATGTATTTTGTATAGTAGAACTGAATGGAGTTGATAGTCCAGTTCATGAAAATGCACTCATTAATCCATTATTTTTCATTTTAGTAATGTAATTCGGGGCAACTTGTGAGTAACACTGTTAGCATTACTTTAACTATTGGGAAGCAAACTTTTCTCCACTATGATTAATTTCTGGTTTTCCCTAATTTCTTCTGTGCCTGACTCAAAATTGTACTGCATGACAATGTTTTTCAACAGAAGTTTCAAGAGTGTTATCCAACTATTTCATCTGGAAGGTATGCTTACCTTTCCTGAATGGAATGCAGCCCATCCAGGTTTAAGTTGTTCATTGACTCGAAACCTTTCTCAACAGTGGCTGAAATATCGAAGGAGCAGCAGAGTGTTGTCAGAGCAACACTTGTGTTGTTTGGCTGGTGTTTGCAATCACATAAATAGTAAAGCCAATTTGAGAAAGCAACATAACAAGCACATAAGTAGTTTTCTGGTGAATCACTTGAAGAGCTTTTTGTACCTTCTTTTATCACACATATCTGGAATATTTTTCTCCCAATTGGAAACACTCCTCCTGTAACTCTCTGCTACATCCAATATATTAGCAATTGCCTCTTCTATGGAAGACCAGCATGCAACTAGTTTGATGGCTTCATTATGGATGATGATTTTGCCTAAATTGAGAAATCCTTGGGCTAAATCCCAGAGACATTCTATGTAAACTCTGGCCACTCCGTGCTCTCTCCCCCTCCTACCTACAAATTGTCCCTTTCTCAAGGAGCATAAATTAGGTAGTCCAGGGTGAAGGAAAGCAGGTTCTCATATGATTATCCTTCCCATAAAACATTTGTATGGTGCTGAATTTTGGTTCCTTGGATTCATGTTTTATTAACTAAAGCCATACCCATTGATGATTACCTCTTGTTTCTTAAGGTAAAGGTAAAGGTTCCCCTCGCACGTATCTGCTAGTCGTTCCCATCTCTAGGAGGCAGTGCTCATCTCCATTTCAAAGCCGAACAGCCAGCACTGTCCGAAGAAGTCTCCGTGGTCATGTGGCCGGCATGACTAAATGCCAAAGGCACACAGAACGCTGTTACCTTCACACCAAAGTGGTCCCTATTTTTCTACTTGCATTTTTTACGTGCTTTCGAACTGCTAGGTTGGCAGAAGCTGGAACAAGTAACGGGAGCTCACCCTGTTACGCGGCACTAGGGATTTGAACCGCTGAACTGCCGACCTTTTGATCGACAAGCTCAGTGTCTTAGCCACTGAGCCATTACGTTCCTTGTTTCTTAAAGACAGACAAAAGCTATGTCATTAGTTCGCCACAAAGTGCTGTGGCTGCAAAGAAATTGATATTTTGATTTGTGTTGGACTGTACGAGACAATAAATTAATAAAATGTCCGCTATTCTTTGGGGTGGTTTGGTATACATAGAGGATGGATTTACATTGGGAGGGATTCCATGAAAATTCATGACACTACTATGCAGTTCCATCTTGCACTCTGTTTGTTGGGGTTATCAGCCTCCAATGAAGTGTGCAAGTTCAGATGAGTGGTTGGGAAGAGAAAATTGGGATACATTATTCCAACCTGAATGCCGAGAAGAATAAATGACAAAATGTTTTGGTTATTTTTTCACCATTTCCTTTTTAAATAGCTTAGGACTTTATTTAGAACACCCGCATTTTAATACAATAACATACACATACACATACACAACAAGGATATTGCATTATTCAATGCCATCAAATGAGTCGATTCTCACTGAATGGATATTTGAGCCACAGAAAGTGAGCAAAATGAACACTACGGGTACAGAAACAGAGAGCTTGGTCTTACTCAAATTTAGTATCCGGTTATTGTGAAGACTTTTGAGTTCCCATCTGATAATTACAGAGGAGCCACCCCCATAGATCAGATGACAATGTAAGTAACAATGCAGATAATGTCTTACAAATGACTCAGTTCTTGTTTCTTTTGTCACTTAGGAACAGCAACACAAAGGCAGTGAAAATCTTAATACTTAATACTTAATACTTGAGATACTTCCTACCAAGGGGAGAGGGCCTCCATACTCTCAGTGGTAGTGTCCAGCTTGTTCACCTCCCTGCATAATACACTAGCTTGTAAAAGAGCCCCATGCTGAAGGCCAACAAATAGTCCTCAACGTACAAGCACAATTGACCCCCAAATTTCTGTTGCTAAGCGAGATAGTTGTTAAGTGAGTTTTGTCCCATTTTATAACCTTTCTTGCTATGGTTCTTAAGTCAATCACTGTAGTTGTTAAGTTAGTAACACGGTTGTTAAGTGAATCTGGCTTCCTCATTGTCTTTGCTTATCAGAAGGTCACAAAAGGTGATAACCTGACCTCGGGACACTGCAACCGTCATAAATGTGAATCAGTTGCAAGCATCTGAATTCTGGTTATGTGGCCATGGGGATGCTGCAACAGTCGTAAGTGTGAAAAAAACTCACTATTTTCAGTGCCGTTGTAACTTTGGTCACTAAATGAATTGTTGTAGGTGGAGGATTACCTGTATTTTTGATGAAAATGGGGAGAGGAGAAATATGTGGAAGACTGATAAAACTCAGCGAATGGAGCCCTGAATAGGCTCCATCCTCATAATAACCATATTTTTGCAATAGTGAGAATGGCCCAGAAATATCAGATATTCTTTAAACCACAACTGGAAGGGTTTGTTAACATAAAAGCTCATTGTTTAGAGGTGCCCTTGATTGTTATGTGGATTGTTATGCGGATGAAGACCTATTTAACATTTTATTTTAATAAAATCAGTCACCTATGCATCTCTAGTATTTAAATAACAGTACAGTAGCATGAATATCTGATCCCAGTGCATAGAAATGCTAGCTATAACAGGCGGAAAGCATTATATTTCAGCAAGACCAAAATAATTGCTGCAAATATATTATCTCGCCAAATACCAAAAATATACCCAGACAATAATTTCTGATTTTTCATTTACTACTTCCTTATTAGCACAATATCTGATTTTCAATTACAGTGTACGCATAGGTGTTAAAACCTTTGCTTTAGAAACGGGTGAACACAACACTATGGATCCTTATGATAAAGGCAATTTTAAACATCCTGCTTACTGTTTTCTTTATTAAGATTACGGCATGTGAAATAACCATTGTTAGGACAATCACCCAACTTTTTTGGCCTTTTTCTTTCCTAATTTTTCACATGGCTGTCTGCTTCCTCGGTGCAGTTTCCTGACTTCAAGTTGCATAAAGTTGGAAGGTAAATTGCAGAAAGTGTCTTTCCTTCATCATATTTGTGTCGGAAGCATTCTTCCCTTTCTTCAGCTTGTTTCTGTACTGCATGTTTGCTCAGGGAGAAGTTACAGTGAATTCATTTGATCCCTAGGAGTCAAAAACTACTTGATGGAACGTAAACAACCAATCAATCAGTCCTATATATGTATGCATAAAATTGCAGTTGCTTGTTATTAGTTCCCATCATTTGATCTAGCTTCATCTATGACATCTGTGCTCATGTTATAAAGTTCCGGGTTTCTGTTACCCACGCCTAATACTGGGAATTGCATTCCCTTCCATGGCACACAAGACAAGACAAGACACCTAAACTAAGATATCAGTTAGAGCTTTGTAGGATTGTAGGAAGAGAATTCTGCTAATTTATGGTAGCAAAAAACTCAGAAGTAGTCAAAGGGCCTAGAGCAAAAGAAGCCAATTATTCAGCAATTTTATTCAGCAATTGAAACTTTCTCCTTTTTGTGGATTCTAGCACTAGTTTTGATCATGTTTGCCTATCTATTGGCTTTGTTACATTTATTCCAAGCCCCAGTTATCTTTAGGCATCTTTAATCTAACTGTCTGTACTGCATAGGGACACAGCCCCATTTGCTGGTGGAATCACATGTGTGGTTTGCATTTTCATTTTTAAAGATTGTACTTTGCTCTTAATGATTTTTCTGAAATAGCCAAAAGGTGATACACTTTCATCTGCATAATCATCAAACTGAATGTAGAGCCTTTGATGAAGGAATGATTACACGTGATATAACTTGCGTTATGTCAAAATTTAGAAATATAATTAGTGGCTTTTGATAAATTTCCAAGAAATTTACCCCTATCTGCTGAAGGAATATATCCCAGAAATCACGCTTTTTCTTTGATCAAAGTGTGATTTTGCTTTACTAATCATTTTTAGATTCAGTTGATAAAAGAACACTTTAAACTGTGAGAATTCCTGTTCATGTCAGAAATAATGAATGGATGATTAATTGATGGAGAACAGGGAGACAAATAACATTAATACAACATCTGGAATTAAATATAAATAACTGGGTTTTGTAATTAAGTATAAATAACTCTGGTTTGGAAATAGTGCATTTTCATACTTATCAAATTCAGTCCTAGAACAAACCTGAGACTCAGGCCCTTAAACTGTACTTGTAATTTCCTATCCTTTTTTTTTTTTTAGCTCTGATCATCAGATTCCTAATCCTTGATTATCAGTACCCAATTTCAGTTTTATAATTCCGGTTGTAGTTTGAAAATACAAGAAAAGGCATATGTCACTATCTAGGTTTATATAAATATACAAAAAATATTCACCCACCTGTTGCCATGTCCCCAGAATTACAACATGCTAGCATAAACATAATGTGGTTATGTTTTGATAGACAATATGAGCTGAATTTGGGCAAAATGTCACTAGCTTGTTCTCAACTATACTTTCCACATTTTCCCTCTCCTCCCTATTCTGCATGCAAATTGCTATACAAAACTATAAGAGTTAAATGATTGTTATTAATATTCCTTCCCATTCCTAGCCACACGTTTACCGTCACTGAAAAACAAGCATGAGATTTCTTTTCAATTATCTGCAGCTGAATTGCTATCAGCAGTTCAAAGGCTTGAGTGAAGATTTAAATTTGAGACTGTGCTCAGAGATTACAATCAAAGATGAAAGGATGCATTGGATTCTACAATGGTCGGGCAATGTACGAAGTCTCTGGATTGTGCTTATTCATCTGCATAAGTGTGCAAATAATAGAAATGAAACCATCTAAGGGAATGCTGAGGCATACAAGACAAAACAGATTAATAACAGACTCAGCTAAAAACAGCGCCTTCAGGAACTGGCTAGTGAGTTTTCACTAAGCATGCTGGTGTCCATTAAGGTTGGCAAAAGCCTTCTAAGCAAATGAAAAACATAATTTTTGCCTTTAAGAATTCAATGGATCAACTCAAAAGAAGATTCTTGAAATCAGCCCAAAGATCAGCAGTGAAGTAGACTAACTAGCTTCCATCGAATAAGCTTCCTTGCAAAGCCTCATGCTATTTGCTTTAATGCATATTTAAACTTTGGTATAATATATGTAAATAACAGAAAAAGTAAATAATACTGGTTAAAAACTATATACTGCTGGCTTATGTTTTGTAGCAGTTAATGTCTGTAGTATAACTGCAATATTAGTCCCCCTCACCATAAAGTATAGCATTAAAAAATGTTCTGAACATGACTCACAAATTATAATAGCCAAAGAAGATTGGGTCAGCATCTTCAAGCCTGCAGAATTCTGTGTCTTATTGTTATGTTGATAACAGAAACCTTTTTAATGGATTCCCATCCACAATCCATCAGTCTTTAGATGAACTTGAACTTCTAGAATGTGGTATCTGAGTCCTATTCATGTGTTTGTGAGACACTTACTTTGTGAATGGTTGTAATATAATAACATTTCACCAGAAGAAAAGTAGTGATACACATCAGAGCAAACCTCATAGGCCAAGGTAATGGGATCTGAGGATGCTGGCCTTTCACTCATTTCTGTTGTCATGGCTTATTCACGGATTATTCATTGCAACTTCATCTGTGTTGCTGTAGCTTCTAGAAATGTCATATTGATTTTCTCTTTCACCACTTTGGCCTATATAAGTTCCAGATGGGGAAAGTCTTCCACTTTCAGAACTGTGGCTTTCATTTAGGCCGCTTTCTAGAACATCTTCAGCCTTGTCGCTTTCGGTTCTAGGGTGTGATGTAACTGCACATTTATAACTGTAGTTTCTGGAAATCATGCCCTCTGTACATTTTTCATTTTCTTTGTCACAACGAATAGAAATATTGGCCTCTTGGATATCTCTGCTTTCTTCATTGGAGCTTCTTGATAATAAATCAGCTGCTTTAAAACTCCCACTTTCTCCACTGTGACTTCTAGAAAAGCTGTGTTCGGCAGCATCTTCCTTCTTTCTGTGAACCTGAATAGGAGTGGAGGTCTCTACAGGACTTATACTATCATTGAGATTTCTAGAGAATCTGCCTGCTTGTTCATATTCAATTCTGGAACAACCAGACGGTAAGACACCTTCCTTTGTCTCATTTGCACTTCTGACATCATAATCTGGATATCTTTTCTCCCCATGACTTTCTTTGATTTCTTTAGTCTGGTCTTTCATAAGATCAAAATCTACAAATCCTCCTCTTCTGCTGCTTTGGCCTCTGGAGGAACCACCTTCCACAATGCCTCTGTTGAGTCTAGAAACCACAGCTTTGACGAAACCTTGACTTCCATCAGTCACACTGCTGGAGTAGTCAGCTTTATCTGGAACACTGTGAGGTCTGGCAAAAACACTTTGAGTTAAGCCTTCTTTTCTGTTGGTGTAGTTTTTAGAAAAACCACTCTCCGATTTGCTTTTTCTCCCATATACAAAAAGGCCAGGATTGGTACCTGGGATGCCTCTATTCTCTATTGTGTGGAGTCTAGAAAGTTCAGGCAGTGAGAGTTCTTCACTTCTGGGACTAGGATCTCCTGAAATATTACTTTCCAAAGCACTTTCTCTTGCACGACTATGAATTTTTAAATCTGTCTCCTCACACAGACCTTCATCTCCACTGGTAGGACTTCTGATAAACACACTGTCACTTAAAGTTGTACTTCTTATACTTGGGGTTCTAAAGCCACCATCCTTTGAGACAGTTTTTTTCTCACCACTAAGGCATCCAGAAACACTACCCTCTACATAGGCTGTATTACTACCGGTATTACTGGGGTAATTATGAAGGTTGCTCTCCTGTATACCTTTAGTGTGGCCTTGACTAAAGGTAGTATCTGTAGAGTCTTGACTTTGGTCTCTTTGTATTTTAGAAAAGTCATCCAATGAATTATTTCTGCTGGCCTTGCTGTTGCTTTCAGGAATGCCACCTACAGGGACGCCACCATCTTCCGTGCTCCTTGTCCTAGAAAGTATAGGTTCAGCAAATTCTTCATGGCTGCCTCTAGATTCAGGTTCATCATTCTGGCTTCTAGATAGGCTGACCTGTGAGATGTCCCTGTTTATTTCATCGTGAGTTCCAGAAACACCACCTTCAAGGACCCCATCATCTTCAGCATTTGTGGTTGTGGAAACAGGTTCAGCATATCCTTCATTTTCATTTCTGCATTCATTTTCATTACTCTGGCTTCTAGAAAGCCAGCCTTCTATATAGGACTCACTAGTCCCGCTATAACTTCTCAAAAGGCTGTCTTCGGAGATACCACCACTGTGACTTCTAGCAAAAGCATTCTTTGTAAACTCTCTGCTGCCTTGGCTTTGAGACTGGTAACCAACTGGTACGCTTTCTTTTCTACTATGGTATCTACGTCCAGAGGAATTACTGCTTTCCCCACTTTGAGTTCTGGAAAATTTGGAGGACAAAAATTCTGCACTTCTATAATCTGGACTTCCAACATCAGAGCCCTCTTGGATATTGTCACGCGTCTCACTGTGGGCTCTGGCAAACAGAGTCTCAGTCAGGGCTCCATCTTCATTGTGACTTCTAGAAAGTCCAGTTACCAAACTGCTTCCACTATGGATCATTTTATTTGTCAAATCTTTTGCTCCAGATGTGGCTGGGACATTTGTGCTGCCAGAGTCAGGTAAAACTGCAAAGGCAAAATACAAAACACAGGGTTTTTTTTTTTAATGCTATTTTCTATTTTATTTTTGCTTTCAGTACTCATACACCTGAATTAACATAATTTTGAAGAGCATTCCACAAGTTTTTGATGTTGTATCCCATTAGCTTTGTATAATCTCAACTCATTCAGTTCTTCAACATTTGGGTAAGCAAATGAGATTTGAGCAATTTTTTTTTTTTTAATGATCATTTCAAAGAAATATTAAAGAACAAACTTACAGTACTTTGGTCTGGAGTAGATTTTGCTAATGAATGCAGGTGATGGAGACTCCATGCTGTGATTAAAACAACAACAAATTAGCTCAGTTTTACTATAAAATACCAGTTTTCAGAAGAAGCATATAGCAATATAAGCAAAACTTAAAAATAAGGAATTTAGGAACTTTGAGGGTTCCCATCCTAGACAACTAATCAGTTTCTAGAACAACGGATACTTGCTGCCAGGATAAAAAAAACACAACCATTTCTTACACTGATATATCCTTAAGAATTGTGTTGTGCTGTGTTGACAGGGGGGCAGAGGTCGACCCCGAGGCCCCTTATATGTGGGGTGCCACAAGGATCGGTCCTCTCGCCCCTTTTGTTCAACATTTATGTGAAGCCGCTTGGCGAGATCATCCGTGGTTTCGGGGTGGAGTACCATCAGTACGCTGACGACACCCAGCTGTACATCTCCACCCCAGACCACCCCAACGATGCCCTTGAAGTGATGTCCCGGTGCCTGGAGGCCGTACGGATCTGGATGGGGACGAACAGGCTCAGACTCAACCCATCCAAGACCGAGTGGCTGTGGTTTCCGACGTCCCGATATAGTCAGCTGGTGCCATCGCTGACTATTGGGGGCGAAGCATTGGCCCCCACAGAGAGGCTCGCAACTTGGGTATCCTCCTGGATTCACGGCTGTCTTTAGAAGCGCACTTGACGGCCGTGACCGGGAGGATTTTTCATCAGGTCCACCTGATCCGCCAGTTGCGTCCCTTTCTGGATCGGGACTCGTTACGCATGGTCACTCATGCCCTCGTCACCTCCCGTTTGGACTACTGTAACGCTCTCTACATGGGGCTCCCCTTGAGGAGCACTCGGAGGCTCCAACTGGCGCAGAGTGCGGCCGCGCAGGTGGTGATGGGAGCGACGTGGCGCTCCTATGTAACGCCTCTCCTGCGCGAGCTGCACTGGCTCCCGGTGGTCTTCTGAGTGTGCTTCAAGGTTTTGGTCATCACCTTCAGAGTGCTCCATGGCTTAGGACCTGGCTATTTACGGGACCGCCTGCTACCACCAATAGCCTCCCACCGACCAGTACGCTCCCATAGAGAGGGGCTCCTCCGGGTGCCGTCGGCCAAACAATGTCGACTGGCGGCCCCCAGGGGGAGAGCTTTCTCTGTGGGGGCACCTACGATCTGGAACGAGCTCCCCCCGGAGATACGGAGGATTCCGGATCTGCGTACTTTCCGTCGCGCGCTTAAGACGTTCCTATTTCATCAAGCCGGCCTGACCTAAATTTTTCCTCTTTTTAAATGGAAATTTTAAATTTGGTTTTAATTTATTGGGGTTTTAAAATTGGTTCAGCCAAATTTATTTAATTAGTTTTATCTCTATTTTAAATTTTGTATCTATCTGTTTTATTTTATGGCTGTTCACCGCCCTGAGTGCTTCGGTAGTAGGGTGGTATACAAATTTAATAATAATAATAATAATAAAAAAGAATTACAGATATATGTAAAGAATATTTGTCACTGGTGCCTCCTTTTTTTCTTTTTAGCACTTAATAAAATAGGTGATATTAAATACAAAGCTCTTTGGAACTCTTGAATCTTTAGAATTCCAATGAACAGGCATCCCTGGAATTCTAAGCACCCAGAAGACGCTATGGCATATTTTGTTAATACCATGTTTCCCTGAAAATAAGACCCTGTCTTATATTTTTTTTGAACCCTGAAATAAGCACTTGGCCTTATTTTCAGGGAGGTCTTATTATTTTGGGGTGCGTGGAGCAAGATGGGGCTCCTCTTGCTGCCTTACCTGATTTCCAGCTCTGTGTTTAAATATTTTTGGGGAGGGCTTATTTTTTGTGGGGGGAGACTTATTTTAGCGCATGCACTCAAAAGCCCGATTGGGCTTATTATCGGGGGATGTCTTATTTTCAGGGAAACAGGGTATCTGTTAAATGTATTAATTACCAAACCTGTGCAAATTCAAAGACCTCTCTTCACACTAAAACCACACAAACTCTAATATTCATCCTTTGATTTAGAAGGAACCTGGATTAGATTAGATTGCCATGTGACCTGAAATGGTGGTAATCAGCTTCATTATGTAGATGCCCACACTATTCAGCAATGCTGAAGAACAGGGGTCCCCAACCGCTGGTCCACAGCCTGGTGCTGGGCCTTAGCCCATTTGGAAATGAGCCGCAGAAATGGTGGGTGAGGATGCATGTGCGCTTCCACATAGAAAGCTGCATTTGTGAAAGGGGCGCATGCATGCACGTGAAACTATCCACTCTCCCCCCTCCCCCACTGCCACCACAGTTGCCTCCACCGGTCTACCGAGCCTAAAAGGTTGGAGACTGCTGCAGTAAAAGACATACAACAATAAGCGTCTGGATATCATGAAAGCATGCAACACAGCTAGAGAAAAAAAAAATCTGTATTTTGGAATTCAGTTTTGAACTAATCTTTGGCTTTAGTGCTATGTTTCACAACAAACTTCCAGAATTGTGAGCTCAATTGACCAATAAGAAAGCCACGTTAGTCTCTGATAAAAATAAAATAAAAAACAGTATGGTCAAAGCTTTTCCGACTAACACATTTTATTAAATCTGATCATTTCAGCTGCAGTTGCAGAAGTAGTTATGCCTTTTAATAAAAAAAGTTATTATTATTATTTTTTTAATTTGATTTATATGCCACCCTTCTCCGGAGACTCAGGGCGGCTTACAATGTGTTAAGCAATAGCCTTCATACTTTTGTATATTTATACAAAGCCAGCTTATTGCCCCCACAAACTGGGTCCTCATTTCACCTACCTTAGAAAGGATGGAAGGCTGAGTCAACCTTGAGCCTTGGCGAGATTTGAACCTGCAGTAATTGCAGGCAGCTGGTCTTAATAACCAGCTTAATAACAGGGTGCCTTAGACCACTGTACTACCAAGACTCTTATTTGGACAAAGTGCTACCAAACTTCTGATTTAGGATTTTAGGATTCAGAACATTAACTGTATCTAGTGTCAGTATCTAATGCTAGAACATGCAGGATCTGGAACAGGGGTGTCAAACTCGCGACGACATGTCATCACGTGACGTATCACAACTTTTTCCCCCTTCGCTAAAACAGAGGTGGGTGTAGCCAGTGCGTGACACATCCAGATTGCGGGCTGCAAGTTTGACACCCCTGATCTAGAATGTTAGTTCTTCAGGCAGAAGTTACTAGCTCTACATCGTAGTGTCTGTATCACTACGTAGTGTCTGTAGTTTTTTCAGAACAAAAAGTGCTATAAACCTGCTGAATGTTTCAATTTTCCTATTCAAAATCTGAATCTGATGTTTGAAAGGCAAAGTTGCATTCTGAATATATTTTTCTTTAAATTTTGACATCCATGAACCACATTTCCTGATTGTTTAATTTAATTTTGATGTTGAAAAAAACTTTCCGGTATGACATGCTGTAGGTATCAGATGCTTGAATATGAAATAATTTCTGAAGGAAGTTCAATCTCTCTCTTGAACAGATATTTTGGAGGCAAAGCTCTACTTTCTTTTCAATTTATATATCCAGAAGCTTCAAATAAACAATCATACCTTATTTCTTCTCCTTCTACTAATTTCCTGTAAGTGAGAATCTCAATGTCCAAAGCCAGCTTGGTATTCATCAGCTCTTGATACTCCTTAACCAACTGAGCTAAGTCTTGTCTGGCATTATAAAGGGCATCTTCCAATTTTGCCAGTTTTGCTTTGGCATCGTTGAGGGCTGTTTCTCCTTGTAGTCCAACATCTTTGATGTTATCCTCTAAATGTAGACACTGAGTACACAGAACATCACAAGTAAGGGAAACAGCTTGGTGATCTCTCAAGCCCCCTATTTCACCTCCACCTTCCCATTTGAAATAAATACAAAGTTGAACTGGGAAGGACACAAAAATGTCTTTACTCCTGCATGCAGTGGCGGGATTCTGCCGGTTTGTTAAATTGCTGGCTCACCCCGCCCCTTGCCCCGCCCCTCCGCACCACTATTTATTGCCAATAAATAGTGGTGGGTGAGAGGTGGGTGAGCCAGCAATTTAACAAACGGTTCGGTGTTTTTTTGTAATTTTATTGGCCCGCAGAGCTTCAGCATAGGCTAATTAGCCCCTTGATTCTATCGGCCTCCCGATTCTCAGCTGATTTGCTCTCAGCTGTTTTGCTCAGGGCTCTGCTGCTTGCTTGCAAAGAGTGCAGATTTTTTCCCCCCATCTATGCTGAAAAACGAAACTGAAAGTAAAAGCCTGCTTTACTGTTGCTGCAACGTTGGAAAATTAGGCAGGCAGATTTCTTTTCTTTTTCCTCACCAAAAAAGGTAGGTGCAAACTACCTTTAGTGGAAAGGTAGTTTTCCCTAAACAGGTAGTTCCTCTTTAGGGAAAAAGAGGAGAGTTCAAGATTTTAAAACACAAAAGAAAAAAAGCTCTATTTAAATAGGGAATTGTAATAATTGAGATACTATTAATTGTATATTATGTTGAAAGCAGAAATGGTTAAATTGTGATTTGGAGGAATATATGGGGGAAATTATTTGGTTTATTATTATTGGTAAATATAATTAATTGATTTGTAAGAAATTGGATTGCATGGAAATAATTGGAAAATTCATGTTCATATTGATTAATATACAAAAAAGATAGTTATATAACTAATTGATTTATATTAAAATGTTGAATTTATATTAAACAACTGTAATATTACATAATTAACCAATGTGAGGATGGATATAAAAATAGATGACAATGAGAAGGGGTATAATATAGAATAGAAGGGAAAAATTGAATTTGATTAAGATTAGATATGAGGATGAAGGGTAATATTGTTTTTTTTAAAAAAATAGATGAGGAATAAATATGGCAAAAAGGAAATATAGAAATTGTAAATTTAATTGAAATGACTAAACACTGTTTAAATTTGTGAACTGGCCAAATACTCTGTTCAAAGAAAATACATTGTATGTTTGTATGTGTGTTTCTAATTACTGCTATTTATTCATATTTATTCTCTTTTATTCTTTAAAGTTTAACAATTCATTCTTTATCTTAATATCTTTATATTTGTTTGGGGTTGCCTTTCTTCCATTTCATCTTTTTTACTGTACAGCAATCTTTCTCCTCAAACCTACCACCTCTCTCTTTTCTTTCCTTCTTACTTTCTCTTCCCCCCTCTTCTTCTCCTCCTCTCTTCCTCCCTCTTACCCTCCCTCTTACTCTAATTTCCCTTCCCTTCCTCCCTTCTCTTCCTTCCCTGTCTCTCCTTCTTTCTTCCATCTCTCTTCTCATTCCTTCATCTCTCTCTATTGCTGTATCCTTTTGTGCATATGGATTACTCAGAGGGCTGAAAAAGTTATTTTTGACTGGTCCTCGCACTTTTGACCAGTCCTCGCACTTACGACTGTACTCACATTTTATGTTTTGCGCCCTATCTTGTCACTGTGGTGAAGACAAGTAGTGGTGAAGTGACTGACACAGTTGTTAAGAATGCCGCAACAGGCATAAATGTGAGGAAGGTCATAAGTGTGAGGACCGGTCAAAAATGTGAGGACCAGTCAGAAATGACTTTTTTCAGCCCTCTGAATAGTTCCTATGTGCATATGGACTAGTCAGAAGGCTGAAAAAGTTATTTTTGACCGGTCCTCGCACTTTTGACCAGTCCTTGAACTTACGACTGTCCTCACATTTTACGTTTTACGCCCTATCTTGTCACCATGGTGAAGAGAAGTAGTGGTGAAATGACTGACACGGTTGTTAAGAATGCCGCAATGGGCATAAATGTGAGGATGGTCATAAGTGCGAGGACCAGTCAGAAATGACTTTTTTCAGCCCTCTGAGTAGTCCCTATGCACATAGCCACGCCCACCCGGTCACATGACCAGCTAGCCACGCCCACCCGGTCACATGACCACCAAGCCACACCCCCCAACTAAGCCATGCTCACAGAACCGGTTGTTAAAAATATTGAATCCCACCACTGCCTGCATGTCAGTACTTTTCAGTAGTAGATGTAAATTGTGGCAAGTCTCCAAGCACATAGACAATCATAGAGAAATGCCTGTTCATATATCTTCACCAGCTCATTACCACCAGTTGCAATTTTCCTTTATTACCCCATAAACTTTAATATACAGGAATAGTTTGGTTGTTGCTATTAGCTTGGATAACCATCAAATTTGAATACCTCTAAGCCACACAGGAAAAGGAAAAACATACATAATTATATTTCTTAATCAGATACTACATCAACCACACCAAGTAAATAAACAAAGCTGAGTGGGCAAATATGGCCAGATGAGCTTCCTGGACTTAAATTCTCCGGTAGTAATTTTCCTTTGTTCTTTGAGATATTAATATTCAAACCTTCTGTCATAAGTGCAGACATTCCTGCGGACTATCTCTCCCAGCCTGGTTTCTGCCAAATGTTTTGGGCTACATTTCTCTTCAGTTCCAGCACATCTGGCTGGGGATGATGGAAACTGATAGTTATCATATGTGGCGGCTTACTGACGGAGAAGTAAATTTACTAAGACAACAACATGGTACTTAGCTGTATCATGGCACCCTCAACATAGGGGTGATATCCTACTGGTTCGGACCAGTTTGGCAGAACCGGTAGCGGTGGTGGCGCATGGTTCAGAGAACCAGTGGCAGCGGCAGCGCAATGCTCTGCCCACCTGCCCGGATGTCATTACTTCCTGGTTTTAACCAGAAAGTAACCTGGTTTTGACCCTATGCGAATGCGCAGAATGCTTTGTGCATGCGCAGAGGGTCCAAGCGCGCATGTGATGCGCGCATGTGCAAAGCATGGACTTCTGAACCGGTAGGGAAGGTAAATAGATTTCACCCCTGCCTCAACATGCATAATGAAATCCATACAAGCCAGGGGTGAAATCTACTTATCCTCCTTACCGGTTCAGAAGTGCATGCGCCGTGCACGTGTGGCTGCTTCGCTCGCGTGTGCGCATCACATGCACATGCAGACCTACGCATGCGCAAAACCTTCTGCGCATGTGCAGAAGGTAAAAAATACATTACTTCCTGGTTAAAACCAGGAAGTAATGACACCCAGGTGGGTGGGCGGAGCTTTGTTCCGCCATCGCTACTGGATTGCCAAACCAACCGCGATGATCGCTACCGAATCACGCAATCCGATCTGAACTGGGAGCATTTCACCCCTGATACAAACCCAAATTAAACATACCTATACCTGTTCCTATACCTATTTATTTATATTTCATATTTCTGAACCACCCATCTCCCTCAGATATATCTATAGTTGTACACATGTGATTGTACACACAGACACTCTTCTGAGAGCCAGTTTGGTCTAGTGGTTAAGGCATCAGACTAGAAGTCAGGAGACTCTTAGTTTCAGTCCCGCCTTAGGCACAAAGCCAGCTGGGTGATCTCGGGTTAGCTACTCACTCTCAGCTCGAGGAAGAAAGCAAGGGCAAGTCACTTCCAAAATCTTGCCCAGAAAAATTACAGGGACTAATCCAGGAAGTTACCAGGAGTCAACACTGATTTGAAGGAAGTAAAACAACAATAACAAATATATTCCCATGTGATCACAAAACACTTTTGTGTTCTTGCACAAAAACGTTCAAAATGAGATGAAATAACCAGAACCTCATGTAACATATAACATTACAGGATTTTGGTCATGTTTTATTTTATTTTTAGGTCTTTTTTTTAAATACCTAGACTATTGCCAAGAGCATAGGTTTCCTTTGCATATTTCTATGTATTTGGGGAGGATTATAATTTTGCAATATTCTACCAGTCACATTCTTACCTGGCTTTTCAGAGAGACAATGCAAGACCTCAATTTTTGAATCTGTATATTTAACTCAGCAATCGCCCTCCGGTCATTAAGGAGATGGTCCCCATACTTAGCACATAACACTTCCCTTTCGTTCAGCTGAAGGCAAGAATTAAAAGAATATTACACACGGTAATGCTTCCTGGGCCTCCCCTCCTCTTGCAACACCCACAGCATGGAATATAAAACCAAAAACTCCCCCCAAACCATTACTTCGTGATCTACAAGGGCCATACTCACTAAAGTAAAACTCTCTGCCTCAAGCATCTGGAGCTCTAGACTCAACATGCCCAGACTATATACAGTAACATTAGATTTGTGACTAAAACAGTATAGTAAAATGCTTTATATCTGAATATTAATTTATTTTCTGCTTTCTTATCAGCATTCATGTGAATTCTCTTATTTTCTTCTCTGTTCTCATTCTTTGCCTCATTATTGTATTTGATCCAGAGATTTCTTTTTTTATACCAGATTTTATTTTTTTCTTGACCTAGTTGAAGCTCATTGTCATATTTTCTGTCGGCCTCCATTTTCTATTTCTTTGTGCCATGGTTCAGTTAGGCATGGGGGGCTGTGGCAAAACCAAGCATCTGTAAATTATTCTCCTTTGGCAATGGTATTCATTACATTTTGGACAATTTTTAATGGTACATGAATGGATACCTTGAGCCTGGTGAGTGCCTCCAACTCTTCCCAGCTTTTCATAGCCAAATCTTCATACTGAGCTCTCACATCCTCCACAATCTGTTGGGGATCAGGAATGTATCTGTTGTTGTCAATCCCCAGCACGACTGAAACATCTTTAACCTGGGACATCACTTCCTCAAGCTCCTAGATCAAAAGGACATGGGCTGAGATTAATATGCAAATCATACATTAAGTTTACAATGGTTAGATCTGACAACTCAGCACTGGAAGCTCAGCTATGAATGGATATACTGTTAATTAATATTACACATCCATATTTTTTGTGTGTGTTTAGTATGTCTCATACATTATCATTAGTAATATATGACGGTAGATATGGTAGCTTGGTATTATTACCCAAAATGGAGATCTGAAATTCTATAATAGAGATTTACAAAGAAATTATTTTCTGGCTATGGATGAAAGCTCAGGAAGAGTAGATTTCCAACTCATATTCTTACAGCAGCATAAGAAAAGCTAGCAGATGGATAAAGACCAGATTAAACCTGATTTTAAAAGATTACTGCTAGATTATTATTATTATTTTTTGAAAACGAGAAACTTCTCCAGAGGGAAGAAGGCAAAGTGAGCTCTGAAAACAACTTTCCTGCAAGAAAGGAATAAGAATTGAAAAGAGACATGGAATTGGCCATTGTGGTAAGGAGTTTTCAGTCCTAAATTGGAAGAAAAGGTGGAAAACAATTTGAAGCAGGTTCTATAACTTTGAAGCCACCCTACTCCTGTGACATGAATTATAATACCACAAAACTGAAGCATATATAATAGCAATGCTTGGAAACTGCAATCATCCCTCAAGTTATCTTATCAACCATCTCAGAACAAACAGAATATCATTCAGAAATTATTTATGGCTCAAGACTGGCTAAAAACTTTCAGTGATTAAACCACACAGACACATCCTTGTGTCACGAACAGGCAGGCAAGACCCTACATGAAGGCTCTGAAATCAGAACTCTTTGAATGTTTGGCTAGTCCTAATGTCCTACTTTCTTGAGTTTTTACTTGTTTCCAGTCAAAATTGATTTATGATAGCAAAAGTCCACAGGCTTTACACTCCTGATCTCAGGGAGAGAGAGAAAAAAAGCAGCAGCGTTAGAAGTTTTTTGTAGTGATTCTCGGCCTACTTGGAATGGCCAAAAGCAGGAATGGAAGGCACGGTTTATCATTTGAGAACATAGTACTCTGGCCACAGGGTTTATTGCCTTTGAAGCCATTCAGGTTGTCAACTTTGGGAAGTAGCCAAGGGACAATGTCAAGGCAGAGGCAAGGTAGGTCATGACAAAGTGTGGTAGAACCTGGTTTATGATAAGCAGAGCTGGAAAAGTGGCTCATCAGCAACTACGGTATTGATTGCCTCATGTTTACTAAAATGAATCAGCAAAATGTTTGCTGGGTGACTTGCTGCTGCGAGAGCTATTGGTTACATGACTCAATCATCTCATATGATAAAGGAGAGGAGAAAATGTTTAAAGTTCGTTAGCATAATCACAGTTTTACTTAATGACAATTTCACTTAAGGTCAGGGGTGAAATCCAGCAGGTTCTGGCGAACCGATAGCGGACATTTTGAGTAGTTCAGAGAACCGGCAAATGCCACCTCTGGCTGGCCCCAGAGTGGGGTGGGAATGGAGATTTTGCAATATCATTCCCCTGCCTCGCCCACCAAGCCAAGCCCACCAAGCCACACCTAACCCTAACCCTGCCATGCCACGCCCACAGAACTGGTAGAAAAAAAAATTGGATTTCACCACTGCTTAAGGTCCAGGGTGTGATTGCTAAGTGAGGACTACCTGTACTCAGGTACTCAAGTACTTCATTCCTACAACTAAAAACAACTAAAAATCTAAGATGTCTACCCTAAAATTTCTTTCCTTTTCCTGATAGATTGAAAACTGCTTTTTTTAAAATTAATTAAGCACAAAGCGGTAAGTCATATGGGCCCATAATACATTATTGCTCTACTATGGTCATATTACCTGTTGCATTTTATCCATCAATTGCAACCTGTTGCAATTCATCAATCCAGCTGCATACATTTTAGATACATGCAACAGAAATACATGCCAGCAATGGAAGTTGATTGACCTCTAGGTGAGGACCTATGGTAGATTAGGTTGCCCCCACCCCAGCCCCCACCAAGATCAGTACCACAAGTACCATTGCAGCCAGGAAGTGGGTTCTGGATTATGAAAATCTCCAGACGGAAAGGATGATCAGGGAATTGCCCATTTTGACTCTGGATAGCTCCTCACAGGGCGACTACAAGAATTAAGTTTCTTGTGCTCATCCATCAGTTGAGCAGCTTGGGAGTTAAGAGAATATCAGTCTGCCCAGAACCACTATGCAGCCTTTATAGATGTATAACTGGCAACAAACCTCACTTTCTTAAAGTCTTTGGATATAATTAATTTACAACCTAAAAGAAACATTCCAAATGGCAGAAAAGAACAAAGACACTCAAGTGAGCTGCATTCTGTTTGGAATTAAGAAAAGAAAACAATGTTATCTTAAAGGATTTAATTTAAAAGCAAAAGGCTTAATGAGATTTTAATTCAAGAAACTTTTAAATGGATAAAAAGGATAGTAATTTTAGAAAACAGAAGAATTTTTTTTCTGATGAAAATGCCTTTGAAAATATCAATTAAAAGGACCTTAGTGGGAATGCTGATTGTTTATTATTAAAGAAAGTAGATTGTTGGATTTTATAAAACAAACAGGATAATATGAGCCAGACTGTATAATGTAACTACAGAGAGTTAATTGGGACTAAATGGTTAAACAGAGAAAAGCCAAACAGAAAAAAGGAAAAGCTTATCTTTTATCTTCACCCTAGTAATTCACATACTTTCACTTTCTCATATAGCAAGTAAAAGAAAAGAAGCAAAATTAGGAAAAGGAAGGAGAGGTTTGCTACAGCCATACAAATAAGGGCATTTTAGCAGATTTATTAGAGAAAATGTTTGAGGATTTGGCAAGAAGATAAATTCAATGGATGGATGCCAATTGTTTAGATGCTTTTAAAAAGGAAATGAGAGAAGGATTTGCAGGAATTAAAATGGACATGAAAGAGGAAATTAAGAAGGTTGAAGAATCTGTATGACAATTAACTGAAGATCTAAAATAAATTAATGACAAGGTGGAAGATTTGGAAAGTAAAACAAAAGTTATGAATAGAGAGAGGGAGAAAGATTTGGACAAATTGGCATTACTGGAACTAAGAGAAAAATAATTTCGAGTGAATCCAAAAGAACATTGAGAGAATATCAGAGAAAATATTGATAAGTCTTTGTCTTTCCTGGATTGGGAGGAAAGTGATGTTGAGGCAGAGATTGGTAAAGTTTACAGGATTAATACACTATTTGCAAAATTAAGAAATTTGAAGCTTCTTGGATAAGAAGAGAAACATCTTCAAAACAAAAACAGAAAGTCCAGTTACCTCTTGAAAAAGTACCTTTGGGAAAAAGAACTGGATACAATGAGAAAGGACAGCAAATTACCTCTGCCAGTAGTGCTTTTAATTCTAGCAATTGAGTTGGATAAGAATAAGGAAACTCTTTAATGCAACATAAAATGGAAAAAAAAGAAGGGTTAGAAACAAGCATAGAAGGCAGCCCACAGGTACTTCTTAGACAAGCAATCAACCAGCCCGCCTCCAGCTCTTTCCCTTTATTGTATTTAATACAATAAAGCTTAAATGATTGGAGATGAGCTCAGAGGCCAGGGCAGGGCAGGTGAGCCATTCTTGACAGAGATAAGACGGCTATAAAGATGGGGGATTTCATAACGGCTTGTTATAAGAAGCATATCCTCAAGGCTATGAGAAAGAAGAATTCCAGTCTGATTATGTATATGTAGAGTATCTAGATCAGCGAAGGTGAGAGAGGCTGAGCGAGTACCAGGGGTTCCTTACTGAACCAGGTGAAAATAATTAGGATGTGTAACAGATGTAATTGCACACTAGGTGCACTCAGGAATGCCCGTGATTGACACAGATTACTGGTTCTGTTTCTTAGGTGCCACCATAACTACTTCATGTAACTTAGAATTAAGTTAAGATATGTGTACAAGATATTGCAGGTTACAATTGATCTGGCATGCGATGAAGCTAATGATTAGCAGAAAGGAGAACAGCAATCCAATGTAAAAATAATAAAAGAGTGGGAGTTGATTCACTTTGCACATGCTCCAAGGCACCAAGCCCGAGGAGCATTAGGCAGGTATGAAAGTTTGCAACTCCATCTCTGAAAATCTGTATAATTGTCACTATGTGCTTTGTTTCCTTATTATTTCAGCAATCTTTCCAAGCTTCAAAATTTGGTTCAAATATTTATTGTAAGGTGCTTGTGGCAGTACAAGAAAGGGAGGGGATAAAATCAGAAAAAAAGTACATCTCTTGTTTAATTTCCCAATGTAGGTCAGTTCCACCTATTTTTAAGGCTGATGTCCCTTGCATCTAGTAATACAAGCAGCATCCGTGTACAAACATATTTTTGGCCTTCGTGAAGTAAGTGTCCTTTTCTTTGGGGCATGTCCAAAATTCAAATAAGCAGTAGTCTTTAAATGATGATCATACTAGCTGTCAATAAACATACCCGTATTTTTCGGAGTATAAGACGCACCAGAGTATAAGATGCACCTTAGTTTTTGGGGAGGAAAATAAGAAAAAAGCTGATTGGTGGGTGGATCGGCCTCCCGGAATACCCCCAATCAACTGTTCCCAGAGGTGAATTTTAGCAACAGGTTCATTGGCTGTGAGCTCTGAGCCTTGCTTTTTGTTCTGCCTCTGAAACTTCTGAAACAGAGCTTCAGAAAAAAGCTCTGTTTGGAGGCTTTTTTTCCTGAAGCTTCTTTCAGGAGCTTTTTTTCTGAAGCTTCTTTCAGAGGCTTTTATTCTGAAGGACTATCTGTACTCTGTTCAATCTCCTTTCTTTGGTATTGGTATATAGATTAACCTCTTCTGATCTGTTGGTTATTGTGTCATTCTCCAGATTTGTTAGCATAGTTTGGTTAGAACCTTTACTGATTCTTCTTTTGTTGCTTGCCATATTATTTTAGATAAAAGCCTTTCAGAGGCTTTTTTTCTGAAGCTTCATTTCTGAGGCTTTTTTTCTGAAGCTTATACTCTGAAAAATACGGTAGATGTTGGATATTTACTACAAACTAACACCACTCCAGGACATTCCTTCTGTCTCTCTTTCTTTCTCACCTGCTCATGGATGGTACTCATTAACTCCACCCAAGCATGAAGTCCACTTAGTTTTGTTTCCAATTCTGTCTTGTGGAGAAAGCCATTGTCCAGGTCCTGTGGATTAATGAAGACCAGAGAAAAAGAGTTTTCACTTTAACTGGAACTTTTGACATAAATTTCAGTCTCAAGCAAAGGAAAGAGATACTGGTTGTTGTTGTTTTTTGCAGGATTAGCATTCTGTCATTGCCATTTGAAAATAGCATTTGGTCAGAACGTTTGATTTTAATTGAGAAAAATCTCTGCCAACAGAATTTCTCTGAGAGGTCTTCCCAAAATGCTTGTTTTCCCCATTGGTAACATGATTCCAGCAATTATACAATTTAGAAACAAACAAACAAAAATGACTTGAGTCTTCTCTTTCTATAATTGCCATTTTGAAATTTAGGTGACTTAGGATCATAATTGAGCATGGAATTCTGGTCGTAAGTCGTAAAACGGGTCATCACATGACCAAACTGGTTTTACACATTTTTGCCGCAGTGGTTAAACAGATGTGCAGTTGTTAAACAAACCAGCATCTTTCGCTAGAAATGTGAAGTTAAGTGCCATAAATTGCAGTCATGTGACCATGGGACACTGCAAACAGCCATATATGTGGGCCATTTGCTGTTCACCCAAAATGGAATCACATGACTGTGTGTGTGTGGGGGGGGGGAAGCTGTTGGAACTTCAAATGTGAATGCTTTTTTGGGGGTCCATCAGAACTTCAAACCATCATGAAGCATAAGTCACCACTTATACCGATGTCTGAGAAGCTGTGGATTGGATTTTTAAAAAATTCTGAATACCTTCGTGGGGCATATCTGCTAGAGAGATTCTAATCTAGGGCATTCATACAGCAATTTATAAATACAGTACACTTTAATGTGTAAAAATAAGTAATAATGGACAAATACAATAACTTTAACAAGGAATAAGCAGCACCTGTTGATGTTCCAATAAAGCAGAGGGGGACACAGATACTGTTCAGGATGATCTTGTTCCTAGTGCAGGGGTCTGCAACCTTAAGCACGCAATTGGACCCGTTTCGCACAGAAAACACCGGGGGCCACAAAATCTGGGTGGGCGTGGCCAACTCGATGTCACTCACTTCCACCAGTCACATGACCTCCCCCTAGCCATGCCTACCCAGCCAGTCATTAGGGCAGAGAACCAATTGTTAAAAAACACTGGAAACCACAAAACCCTCCCCCACTCTCCCTCTCTCTCTATGTCTCTTTCTCTCCCCCTCTCTCTGTATCTCTCTGTCTCTGCCCCGGCTGCTTCTCCATCCCACGCCATCACCCTTACATTCTCAGGCCAGGCGAGGAGTGACTGGGAGGGGAGGGCGAGGGGCGGGGCCAGCCAGTGGTGGGATCACCTGACAGGGAGCCACAGCATAGGGCCCAAAGAGCCGCATGTGGCTCCAGAGCCACAGGTTGCTGACCCTTGTCCTAGTGTGACATTCAGGGGATGCCTTGTTCAAAAAGAGGAATGATCCCACCCAGATTCCCACCACTAATACAGTCAGGGTGGAGGGTGAGCTTTCTCTGCCTTGCCTTTCTAAGTTTCAAATTTTGGGTTCTAGACTTAGGGAATTCAGGTTATGTACATCCTCTATAGATCTCATTTTCTACCATATGTATGATTTCCACAACATTTTAATAATGCTGGAAATTAAAAAAGGAATCTGGGTTGGCTCACTAGTCATCACTTAATCATAAGTAAAAGACATCAGGGGAATAAACAAGGCAACTATGTTTAATACAGGATGAACACAATTAAAAGGAATTTACAGTTAATAATAGCAGCCTGCCCTTATAAGAATGTTTGATGCCTAAGCACCACATAAATCACCCCAACTAATGTTGAAAAATAATTCCTTTAGAGCCGGCCTAAGTGAATTTTGTACTGGGATAAGGATCTTTAGAAAGTTTAGAATTGGAAATGCTGGAAAATGCTTCATTATATATTAAGTAGATTGAATGTAATTAGATGCTTGACTAAAAAAAATCATAAGTGGATGCTGGATGATCCTGAACAGGGCCTGAATTCCTTTCTTTTAAATGGCTTTCCAGAGGAAAAGTTATAATTATGCAAAACTCTTTTAAGAATTCATGACTACTGCCCCAAACCAGCACGTCCATGATTTTTACCAGTTTATTCCAGGAACAATATAAAAACCATCTAGTATTATTACATCCTGCATTACGCTTGCTTTCTAAGTGGCAGTGGAAATGTTGTGGCAATGATAAAAGTTTTAAAAAGGTGAAAATCAAAGCTAAACTTAAAAAATGTAAAAACCGAATTAGCAGATAATGTGAATCCAATTCAAACAAAACTACTTTTTTTTTTTTAAATGCTCAATTCTGTATAAAAGCTCAACCAAACCTACAGATAATTTATCCACCTGAACTGCTTTTCTCTGTTTGGATCTGAGGAATGTTTCTCTGCCTACCTTTTTGAGTGTTGTGAAGGTGAATTCCATCCCACTGCGTTTGTTTATTTCTTCTTCGTATCTAAATGAAAGAGGGTTGTTGGTATGAATGAAATGTCAAAAGATATCATTAAAAGAGACTGTATAATTTATGTTTTCTACAGTACCTCCCTTTATGTTTAGTAAAACCAGTGATCCCAATGCAGACACACAAACATCCCATAAAAACCCTACACCTGGCCATCTGTTCATGTAATTGTGAATTATTATAACTCTTAGAAACACCAACATATGTATCTATTATACTAGTTGCTGTGTAGGAGTACACTCATGAGAGACTAACCCTACCCTGAAAAGTTACCAAAGCAGCTATGCAAAATAATATACAAAATAATAATTTTGGAAATAATAGCAGAAAAAGGCAATGACTGTATAACTAAGTTTAGAACAAACGACAATTAGTGGGACTTCATCACTTGACTGCCTCAAGGAACAAAAGACATTTCTTTCCAATAATTTGTCCCATTTCCTTCCCTGGTGCAAAACATTTGTGGTTTGACAGCCACAGCCTCTTACTGGCCATCTCAGTAGAGGTGGTCCTCAATTTACAACAATTCATTTAGTGACTGTTCAAAGTTACCACGGCTCTGAAAAAAGTGCCTTACAACTGTTTTTCACACTTACGACCATTGAAGCATCCCTATGGTTACGGGATCCAAATTCAGTTGGTTGGCAACTGGTTCATATTTATGACAGTTGCAGTGTCCTGGTGTCATGTGATCTGCTTTTGTGACCTTCTGACAAGCGAAGTCAATGGGGAAGCCAGATTCACTTAACAACCGTGTTACTAACTTAACAAATGCAATGATTCACTTAACAACTGTGGCAAGAAAAGTCGTAAAATACGGGCAAACTCACTTAATAAATGTTTCACTTAGCAACATAAATTTTGGGCTCAATTGTGGTCATAACTCAAGGACTACCTGTACCATAATTCCATATGACACAATCCCTGAAATCAACTAATACCAGATGCTCAGGTTTTATATACCAACCTGCAAGGATTGCTAGCAGAAGGGACACAGGAATTGCTCATACAATCTAAATAAGCTTCATAAAATCTTAACATTCTCTGCATTGCTATCAGAGTGATGGGGGAAGTGAAGCATGCTTAGCCAGAATATATTGCCAACTCTTATGCCAGTGTTTGCCTTTACAAGGGCCACTAATGTTGTCATGGGATACACAAATTACACCTGAGGAGATCACAAAGGGTTTTTCATTGGATTTGAGCAAATAACAAAGCATACATCGGACTTTAGAAATCATGTCATGGACACTCTCACAAAATGGCTGTCATATTAGGTAGCCAGTCACAAATATCATCCATCAATTTGCTCCCTGCCGTACTAATCCCCTAAAATGTCTTTATACCCTAGGGGGAAATACACTTCAAGTAAAGTTCTGGGAGGCGCTCACTCAGCACTTTTTCAAAAAATGCTTATGAGTTCTTTTCATTTTTAAACATTAAGGGATGCTAATGTTTTCATAACATGGGTTCATGTCATAACCCATGTTGGCCAGCTTTCTTCTTATGATGTAATCCCTGCCCAAAGGCTTGGAAATAATAACAATAATTAAGAATAATTCAAGCAGAGCAGAGAAACAACTGTAGGTACAACTGTTGTGGACACCCAAATATCTATAGGGCAGAATAGATGAATCGCTCTATATTTGATCATTTCCGTCCAGACCAAATTGCTGCTTTTCCTGATCTCACATAATGTCATTGCCATTATCAATCACTGATGGTGTTGTTTAATACAAGTGTCTTAGCAACAGCAGTCCCAAATTGGATCTTCAACTCAAATATAAATGGTTTTATTACCCCCCCCCATACCCAAATTACTCCCAATTTAAGGACCATTGATTTAAACAATATTTACTATAAATATATATATTTGGAAAATAAGTGTTCTTGAAATATGTATCTCAAATCATATTTTAATGGGTTTTGACATACTGTATTTTTTTTATCACTATATTAACCCTGGATAAATAAAGCAAATTCCACAAATTCAAAAGAATAAAAACACAGTCATCAATTAGGATCCTGTGAAGCAGGATCAGGATTTTAAATGTAGTCTTGTTCAGCTTTCTTCAGGATGAAGAGCACACTTGCTCTTTGAATGGCATGCTGAAAATTCTGCAGAGGATGGGACAAATTCCATCTAATTAAAGCCCAATTAAATCCCAATTAAATTAAGTACAAATAAGATATTGCTCTCTGTGTAGTCAATAATTTCCCTTTTCTACCCATTAAAAAAATTACCTACTTGAAAACAATCTTTGGAGGAGCTGTAAAAGCAAAACCTAAAAACCTGGATGATTGCAAAATCTATACTCCTAAATCTGAACATGGTCACTTACCTTCGACTAATGTAGCAGGAAGCCCCACATAAACTTTATCTACCTGCTTGCTTGGTAATATGGAAGGAGGAGCTCTAAACTAGTGGTCTCCTACGATAGTTTACCTAAATATGCTGAAGTTCTAGGCTTACTGAGACTTCAAATTTGGCTAATAATGGAGGGCCTTGTTCTACTCTCCTTGGGTTTCCTTGGGTCTGTGCATAAAAAAACCCCCACATCTTTCTTCCCACCAACACTAAACCAAATAGAAGGCTAACATTTACCCCCTCTCATGATTTATATATAAATAAATAAATGCCCTGAAAACCCTCAAAATGTTCTCATTTGTCACAACAGCAAACTTGATCACTTGCTTCTCAAAATTCTAATACTGGAAAAGCTCTAATATAGCCCCCATTTATAGCATTATAGAATCAATGTTGCCCTGCTCTTGGGATTACACCAGTGGTGGGATTCAAAATTTTTTACTACTGGTTCTGTGGGCGTGGCTTGGTGGGTGTTGCATGGCTTGGTGGGCATGGCTTGGTGGGCATGGCAGGGGAAGGATACTGTAAAATCTCCATTCCCACCTCCCTCCAGGGGAAGGATACTGTAAAATCTCCATTCCCACCTCCCTCCAGGGGAAGGATATTGTAAAATCTCCATTTCCTCCCAATCAGCTGGGATTCGGGAGGCAGAGAATAGATGGGGGTGGGGCCAGTCAGAGGTGGTATTTACCGGTTCTCTGAACTACTCAAAATTTCCGCTACCAGTTCTCCAGAACTGGCCAGAACCTGCTGAATACCACCTCTGGATTACACTATCTGGCAAATTTCTCCAATTTCACTGAAGTCTTGCTTCCTTTTTTAAAAGGAGCTTTAAAGATCATAGAGATGACACATTCAGTGGCTTAATAGATGACCACACATCCCTGGAGAGATTGATGGGTGCCAAAATAGCTCTGAATCATACATCCTGTGATAGGAACTTGTTTTCTCCCGACTGACTCATTTTCCCTGAGTCTGGTTGGAGTTTGAAACTGCCACATGCAGACAGACTACGACTTCCTTGTGGATTGATATGTCCAATGTGATAAGGGAAAGGCTGATGACTGTAAGATTCCTGGAGGATGCTGGCCTGTTTAGTTTCTGAAACACCCAACCAAACAGAAGAATGTGAATGAAGAATTTATCACTGCAAAACATGTGCCTCTTAAAAAAAAAAATAGTAACCCGTAGGCACTCTTTCTAATGTTCCTCCAATAAGATTCTTCACATCACAGTAATTCTTCAGGGAGAAGAAGGCTAGTTTTCCAAATGGTAGTAAACTATCTTGATTTGATTTTCTGCTATTTAAGTCACTCCTCCCTAACAACAAGAGTGGGTAGGTTTCTGAAATTACATTCTTTGGTTGTTCCGGTTGTTCCAGCTATATCCCATATGCCACATATATATTAATTGCTCGTGTATATGAAAACAGTAATCAGCTGTACTTCATTTTGTTTTACATTCTTCATAAGGGGTGTAGCAGAGCATTTTACAGCAAATAAAGAGAGCTGAGCTTTATTTCCTATTCCATCTACCGTGTTTCCCTGAAAATAAGATCCTATCTTATATTTTTTTGAACCCTGAAATAAGCGCTTGGCCTTATTGCCATGCGCTCAAAAGCCCGACTTGTCTTGTTATCAGGGGATGTCTTATTTTGGGGGAAACAGGGTATCGGTAATTCAACCTGTAAACATTCTCCAAAAGGTAAGACAAGTCTAGCAAACAATGTGGGCAGTTCCAGGAGTGATGGAAGTATATACAAGGCGATATCCTCTTGTTCCCCAAAGTTGGATTGTCAATTCATATATTTAAAGGGGGAGGGGTTGCTTAGGTGTTTAAAATGGGATGAGAGTATAACATCTTCACTTGTGGTTTATTTTTCTGTTAATTAAACTAATCTATATAGCTGCCCAACTCATATGGAGCAAATCTAGGCAGTGTATACATCATTAAAGATTCACAGTTAAAAATCCCCCCATTCTGTTATTGGCGGCAATAACAGAATCAGACAAATCACTTGATTTGCTTTGAATGAACCCGCAAGCTCGCCAACAAAACCATGTCTTCAAGGTTTTGCTGAAAAGCAACAAGGTGGGGGCCACTCTTAATTTTTGGGGAATGATGTTTCAAAGGTAAGGTATTATCACAGAGAAGTCAAGTTAATTAGATGTCAGAGAAATGCTGGTGGGGTATAATATAATTGTGAAGGAAATCCATTCTAGAATCTAGTAATGACACAAGAGAAGCCTTTTCCTGGCAAACAGGCCATTACCTATAATCATTATTACTTTCATGTGAAGTGTTAATACCACTTTATAATGCCTTGGTAAAACCACACCTGGAATATTACATCCAGTTTTGATCACCAAAATATAAAAAAGGTGGTGAGACTCTGGAAAGAGTGCAGAGAAGAGCAACAAGACAATTAGGGGTCTGGAGGCTAAAACATATGAACAGTTGCAAGAACTGAGTATGTCTAGTTTAATTAAAAGAACTAGGAATGACATGATAGCAGTGTTCCAAAATCTAAGGGGCTGCCAAAAAGACGAGGGAGTCAACCTATTCTCCAAAGCATCTGAAGGCAGGACAAGAAATCCTAGAATTAAGAAGAAATTTTCCGACCGTG